GACGGCGCCGCGACCACCCTGCCTCCATGCTTGGACGCCCGCCAGCGTAGCCGGACAGATGTCTCCTCCACGTCGTTGTGCATGACATAGTCCATCTTGCCAGTCCATGTCTCCGGCTCCGCCTCCGTGTACACGACGACCCTGCTGGGCGAGATGGCGACCAGCTGGGAACAAAGCGGCCAGTAGTGCGGCACCGCGAGCTTGGAGGAGAACTCCAGGAGCAGCGCCTCCCCGTGTCCGACCATGGAGCGGAGGCCGTAGAAGGTGTCTGAAGCTAATGACTCCCCACGGCCATGCTGGAGAACGAGAAGTATGTCCATGTCCTGGACTGTTGGAGGCAATATCCAGTCCAAGCAGAGGCGAGGAATCGCCGTAGTGCTCAATGGGCTGCGCCGCGGTGCGCGGCTGAGGACGCCCTGCAAGACGCTGTTCGTGAAAAGGTTCATGGTCCGGTTGTATTCGTCTGCCCGGAGGTCCAACACCATCACCCTGGGCGCCTCCACGGTGCAGATGGCGGCGTGCGGCCCCAGCAAGCGCGGGAGCCCCCGCGGCTCCGCGTGGCCAAGATGTAAGACCGCGAGGCCTTGGTACACGTGACGCGGGAACCCACCGCCCGGAAGCAGCATCTCCATGGGTGTCAAGGTCAGCGTGCATGCCCGCACGATGGGGGCCCACTTCCCTGACAAGAGCGGGGAGTGCCAGAGGTCCAGAACTGTCTCCAGTGTCCCCATGCCTGCCTGCAGCGGCACGGGGGCGAGGAGGTAGAGGGCCGCCGGGCGCTCTGCCGCGGCCGTGCGAGGCATGAACTGGGAGAGGAACCTGGTGAGCGCATTCTGGTCCGTGGGGGCCCATAGTGCCACCTGCCTCCCAGTGACCTGCGCCCAGAAGCTCTCATCCCCCTTCTCCGCCCAGCCCGCCAACCGTCGCGCGGCGGCAATGTCCGAGGCCGTCTGGAGCTCAGCTCCCAATATCCCAGACCATTGAGTGGCCATGCAAGTCCCCCCCGGCAGATTGTTCGAAAGAAGACTCAGTGCGACTGCACCCAGCTCTTTGTGGAGGGGGAGCCGTGGCACCTTGAGACGCCGGCGCTGGGCCAGAGCCACGGGCAGCGCAGACGCGCAAGTCGCCGCCGCATCGTCGACCTTGGCAGCGAACCCCCGCGCGAGGGCGAGATCCCCATCCGCCCATGGAGGGGCCACAGCGAGCTCGCAGAGCTGCTCGGCCGTGCGGCGCCTGTTGGCAATCATGAGCTCCGACGGGTCCGGACCATCGAGCATCGCCAGGCCCAGGAGATGCCAGGCCTCCTCGGCGGTCACTCCGTAACCCAACTTCTGCAAAATGCCCTGGAGGTCCGCCCAACATGTCGGGTAGAAGACCGCTGGGCTACCGGTGGCGGCCTGCCCCGCGTTCGCCGCAGCGACCCAGGGGAGGTGCACCATGACCTCTTCCTCGACGAAGTCCACCATGAGCTCGTCCCGAATAACATCATCCCGAAGACCACCAGAGAGATCCGCAAACATCTATACGATTACATCATTACCGAAACACACGTAAGCACGCGTCGACGGCGATTTGTGAACGCCACACGCTCACAAAAAAAAACATCCGAAAGGTCTGAAGCCTCCAAGTCGAATCCGATCCAACGCGAATTCAATTTCAAACCAAACATCCGCTACCGTGCCCTCCGGCACGTTGAGGCGTACCAGAATGCCAACTGCCGCCTGGTAGGTTTCTTAATCTTCTACGACCCCCCACAACCCACACACTCTAGTAGCGCCCCGCCGCATGCACCGCCCCCTGTCCCCAAAGCTCTGTCGACGCCCATACTTATCCATGGAATTTCTCAAAGCGCACAATATGTCCAATATAACTTCCAAGCAGACCAGGGAAACCACCACCGGCACCAATATGGAGCAATATGCGTCCAAGCCGAACAAGAGCCCCCCAAATAAACCCTAAGAGCCGTCCAATAAAACCCTCGGGAAGCTCAAAGCATCAAAATCAACGATAGTATTCACAATATCACTTTTTCGAGATTCCAACGCTCCAGGACGGCCCCGAGGGCCGCCAAGACCGTTGCAAGACGGGCCAAAACATATTCAAGAGGGTCCCAAGACGGCCCAAGAAAACTCCCAAACAGCCATGATCACCATTATATTTCATATCCTCCTCCTCCTCCTCCTCCTCCTCCTCCTCTTCATCATCGTCATCGGCGTTACGAAGACAGCCGGATACCTAGAGATCCGATTCAAACAAGAACGACGACAACAACGACAGAGGTAAACGAGAGAAGAAGGGGATCAGGATAGATACATCGAGCTAAATTTACGCACGCACATGCATTCTGTAATATTTTCTGCTTCTCAATCGAACGACATACAACCACTCCCACATACGATCCCGCAATCATAAAGGTCGCAAATAACATAATCAAACATGCGCGTTCACGCAGACTCTTCAAATATCTGAACTCCGAATCACTTAATCCTTTTTTTGCAAAAGGAGCGTGGCCGTAGAGTTCGAGCGTAAAAACACATTGCATTTCTTAGCCAAGGAAAAATACACCGAAACAACAGAACATAGCGCGGCCGTGGAGCTCGCAGGAAACGTCTGTAAATTTGCGCGCGTACGGAAGTTCTTTACATTCGACAAATCCCCAACACGGGAATCGTTACCTAACAGAGAAGTGACAGCTGTGGAGTTTACGCGGGCAACACGTGAACTCACGCGCGCATTTACTTATCATCACATCCAAATACTAAGGCAGCGAAACATGCACGCCGAATGAATTATGCAGACCACGTCATTAAATTATTAAAGTCGCTCTCAGAGAAAACCTGTTGAGTATTGGGTGCCCTTGAACACGCCCTGCCACCCCGACACCCTTACACCCCAACACACCAACACACTAACACCCTAACGCATTAACACCCGAGTACTCTAGCAGAGCAGAATCATTCTGCCGAAGAGAGCACAGCAGTGGAGTTCGCAGAGAACGTAGGTAAATTTACGCGCGTACGTAAAATGTCGTAAATTTCGTAAATTGCAGAGATCATCGAAATGTCGCTGGCAGCGTCGGCACATATGCTCGCGCGTGGACATTTCGAAAGTGTCGAGATGCACCGAGCATAGCAAGGACATTCTGCCGGAGAGAACACATTTCGCTGGCAGCGTTGCACATGTGCTCGCGTATGGAAATTTCGTACGTTTTGAAATTTGCCGAACAGAACATTGACATTCCGCCGGAGGGAACAGAGCTGTGGAGTTCGCAGAGAACGTCAGTAAATTTACGCGCGTACGTAAGATATCGCAAATTTCATACATTCTGGAGATCGTCAAAATTTCGGCGGGAACGTCGGCACATGTGCTCGCGTACGGAAATGTCGGCAAATTCGAAATTACCCTAACAGAGCATGTACATACTGCCGGAGAAATCACAGCTGTGGAATTCGTAGAAGAGGTAGATAAATTTACGCGCGTACGTAAATTTTGCAAATTTCGTAAATTTCGTAAATCTAGTAAATTGTGCAGAGAGCGTGAGCAAGTCTCCTCGCGCATTGGAAGTTCGCAAATGCAAGAAGACCGCGGCAGAGCAGAGGCATTCTGCCGAAGAGAGCACAGCAGTGGAGTTCGCAGAGAACGTAAGTAAATTCATGCGCGTACGTGCATTTCGTAGATTTCGTAAATTCCGGAGATCGTCGAAATGTCGCTGACTGCGTCGGCACATGTGCTCGCGTATGACAATTTCGGAATGTTCGAAATGTGTCTAGTATAGGGGGGGAACTGTGGAAACGCGGAAATCATTAATTTACATTCGGTGTTCAGCGATTTGGGACGACCCTCATAGGCTTCCTGGTTTCTTTTCTAGGAGCTGAGGGGGGCCTTGATTATGTTGTGCAATTGTAGACAGGGGAAGCGAACTTGAAAAAAAAGGAATTGTGGGATTTCCTGTTTTTTCAAGTTGCCGTGCCTGGGCTGTGGGTTAGAAGTTTTCTGGATGCCTGTTGGGATGCGTCTCGGGATCTTCGTGCAAAAGTAGACGGGCGTGAGTTGGAACAAACAAAAAAATGCTTCAACTCATGGGATCATGGGATCTCCAGTTCTACGGTGGTTTCAGGGGCAGCCAAAAGGACGCGAATACGATCCAAGGGAGAAAGGGAAGGGGAGGATGAGGAGGAAAAGGAGGAGCAGGAGGAGGGGCATCCGAGTATCACTATTTCATCCCTTTCAGGTCACGAGCGGGTGGCAGGGCCATGGGATTCTCAAACTGTCAGTTTTCCAAGGCCAAGAACGTGTGGCAGGGCAATGGGGTTCTCAAAAAGTTAGCCCGCCCAGGGTACGAACGTGTGGCAGGGCCAAGAAAGTCTCACCAGGTCAACCTTCACAAGCTGGCCTCAAGAAGCCAAAGGGTTCCTCAAGAACACTGAGGAGATCCGAGTTGGGGAGATACCTCCCCCTCCTGCTCCCTCCTCCCTCCTCCTCTTCACCTTCCTCGCCAAAGGAAAGGGGGTGTGGAAAAGAAAGGAACATATTCGGGGTAGGGGCTGGGCCTGGTGGGGATGGAGCAATTGGATTGGTTTACGGTCCCCTGGGCCCGTATCTTGCCGAATGGACAGGTGAAGCATCCTCCTGGATATATTCAAGTCTCGTTTGAAGCACCCGCCTCAACACGCCCGAAGATGCCCCCCATGTAATTTTACCGTAAACTCTTCTTTTGTCAGACAAAAACACGTGTGTTCGCTGTGACGGGCAACAGCAAAATAGGCGAGCAAGTGGCAACAACTTGACAACAATCTTGAGAAGGCGAAACAACGCAGGAAAACGTGAGAATGCGAACAACAAAGAAAAAAATCAATGGAAATCAACGATTTTATCCTCGTTGGGCTCTCTCGGTACGGCTCTCGCAGCTCTCTTGGGCTGTTCTTGGAGCCTCGTCGGGATTTTTGTTGGGCCTCTCAGGGATCGGGGATGTGTGTTGGGGGCCTCTGGGGGTCACGGAGATAGGGATAGATATGACAAAGCTGATGTGGGGACGTCTGGGAAACCTCTTTACGGTTGTTTGATATTCTTCGTGAGCCCCAGAAATCGATATTGATGTACCGTGCCGAGGGCTGTGCTGTGCCTGGGCGTCTGCCTAGGGTTGGTTCGGGGTGACGGTGACCATTGACTGGGGATGTGACTGCGCGGATGCTGGCAAAATGTGGACATGAGTTGGGCACGGGGCAGGGCCTGTCACCTCCGCCTCAGCGTGCCTGGTGCCCATTGCCTGGGAGCGTGACTGCACGGATGCTCGCAAAACGTTTTCATGAGAGGGGAACGGGGCAAGGCCTGTCGTCTCCGCCTCAGCGTGCCTGGTGACCATTGCCTGAGAGTGTGACTGCACAGATGCTGGCAAAACGTTGTCATGAGAGGGGCACGGGGCAGGGCCTGTCACCTCCGCCTCAGCGTGCCTGAGAGCATCGTCAGGTTCGAAAAAGAAACGTGCGCAGGCCTGAACATCAAAGTGCAATTTTCTATATGCCAATATGGAGGTTCCGTCCAAACTGAACGCCAATCTTCCAGATTCGGGTGAGACAATCAAATGTGCCGAACTTGTCGTAACACTTCGGCGGCCCTGAGCTGGAAGCCACCACCCACGTCAGCCTCCCAGCACACTCATTGAAGTGACGTTTGACAGGGACGGCGGGGGGAGGGCGTATGGCCTGCTGTGCGCTGGCCCACCAGACACAATGATAGGAATTGGCTTTCGACAAAGATGGGGAAGGCCGACATGTTGCCCGATGTGTATTGTCACGTGCGCAGGCGCACCTGGTACACTCTGCACATGCCCCGAACGTGGCGCACCTGGCGCGGCTGGAATATGCTGCACACCTGGCGCACGCGGAGCACGTGGCGCAGCCAGCGCACCAGGCGTGCCTGGCACGCTCGGGCCCCAGGAGAGCTTGTCGCGCGTGGCGCACCTGGCACGCGTGTCGCACCTCGCCCCAGCGTCGCGCACATGGGTCGGTCCATCCCAAAAAAACGCTGAACATGCTCAGGTTCGGGTGTTACTTGTGTTGGGAGGCCGGGTGGGAGTGAGCAAGACGATTCGCCACCTAGGGGATGTCCTGACCCTTCCCTCATGCTTCCTTCCCGGAACCTGGACGGAGGGGAGCGCGAGGCGTTGGAGCGTCCAAGATGACCCAAGACGGCTCCAAAAGGGCCCCTGATACTCCAAGATGAGCTTCATGATGGCTCAAGATAGAGCACGATGCCTCATGCCTCATGCTGACCCCCAAGATGCCCCAAGAAATCCCAATAAGGTTCTAAGAGTTTGAAAAGGATTGAGAGGCCAAACCAGCAGCTTCGCCCAAGGCGACGCCCAGCCCACGCTCTGTTGCACCGTAGTAACGATATTCACATTAGTAGAGGGCGTACCATCCTAAGCAGTAGGAAGCTCCTTTTGGTCTCGATGGCGAGTCGTATGCCTCACAACGAGGCACAATCATATCTGGGCGGCCGAGCGCTTGAGCCGACGCGGCCGCGGGTGGAATTCGTAGAAGAGGTAGATAAATTTACGCGCGTACGTAAATTTTGAAAATTTCATAATTTTCGTACATCTAGTAAATTGCGCAGGGAGCGTGAGCAAGTCTCCTCGCGCATTGGAAGTTGGCAAAGTACAGGAAAACCCCAGCAGAGCAGAGGCATTCTGCCGAAGAGAGCACAGCAGTGGAGTTCGCAGAGAACGTAAGTAAATTCACGCGCGTACGTGCGTTTCGTAAATTTCGTACATTCCGGAGATCGTCGAAATGTCGCTGACTGCGTCGGCACATATGCTCGCGTATGAAAATTTCGGAATTTTCAAGATGTGTCTAACAGAGCAAGGACACTCTGCCGGAGAGAAGACAGCTGTGGAGTTCACAGAGGACGTAAGCAAATGTGCGCGCGTACGTTAATTTCGCAAATTTCGTAAATTTAGTAAATCTCGTGAATGGCGCGGAGAGCGTGAGCAAATCTCCTCGCGTATTCGAAGTTCGCAGAGTACGAGAAAGCCCCAGCAGAGCAGAAGCATTCGACCTAAGAGAGCACAGCAGTGGAGTTCGCCTAGAACGTAAGTAAATTTTCGCGCGTACGTGAATTCCGTAAATTTCGTAAACTCTGAAGATATTCGAAATTTCGCTAGCAGCATCGGCACATGTGCGCGCGTATGGAAATTTCGAAAGTGTCGAAATTTGCTAACAGAGCAAGGACACTCTGCCGGAGAGAAGACAGCTGTGGAGTTCGCGGGGAACGTAAGGAAATGTACGCGCGTACGTAAATTTCGCAAATTCGGAGATTTCGCAAATCTCGAAAATTGCGCAGGGAGCGTGAGCAAATCTACTCGCGTATTGCAAGTTCGCAATATACAAATAGGCCCCAGGTGAGCAGAACATTCTGTCGAAGAGAGCACAGCAGTGGAGTTCGCAGAGAACGAAAGTAAATTTACGCGCGTACGTTAATTTCGTAAATTTCGAACATTTCTCAAATATCGCAGACAGCGTATGTACATCTGCACGCGTATGGGAATTTCGCAAAGGACGATAAGTTCCAAGCAGAGCAGAAACATTCTGCCGAAGAGAGCACAGCAGTGAAGTTCGCAGAGAACGAAAGTAAATTTACGCGCTCACGTAAATTTCGCAAATATCGTAAAGTTCGCAAACTCCGTAAAATTCGCAAATGTCGCAGAGAGCATAAGTAAAGCCGCGCGCTTATGGAGATTTCGCACAGTGCAAGAAAGCCACAGCAGAACGAAATAATTCTTCAGAAAAAAAAACAGCAGTGGAGTTCGCAGAGAACGAAAGTACATTCACGCGCGTACGTAAATATCGTAAATTTCGTAAATTTCGTAAATTTCGTAAATGTCGCAGAGAGCGTAAGTAAATCTGCGCGCGTATGGGAATTTCGGAAATAACATGAAGCCCCAGGTGAGGAGAAGCATTCTGCCGAAGAGAGCACAGCAGTGGAGTTCGCAGAGAACGAAAGTAAATTTATGCGCGTACGTTAATTTCGTAAATTTCGAACATTTCTCAAATATCGCAGACATCGTAAGTAAATCTGCGCGCGTATGGGAATTTCGCAAAGGACAATAAGTTCCAAGCAGAGCAGAAACATTCTGCCAAAGAGAGCACAGCAGTGAAGTTCGCAGAGAACGAAAGTAAATTTACGCGCGCACGCAAATTTCGTAAATTTCGCAAATTCCGCAAAATTCGCAAATGTCGCAGAGAGCAAAAGTAAAGCCGCGCGCGTATGAGAATTTCGCCCAGCGCAAGAAAGCCACAGCAGAACGGAATAATTCTTCAGAAAAGACCACAACAGTGGAGTTCGCAGAGGACGAGAGTAAATTCACGCGCGTACGTAAATTTCGTAAATTTCGTAAATTTCGTAAATTTCGCAGAGAGTAAGTAAATCTGCGCGCGTATGGGAATTTCGCAAAGAACATGAAGCCCCAGCAGAGCAGAAGCATTCTGCAAAAGAAACCACAGCAGTGGAGTTCGCAGAGAACAAAGTACATTTTCGCGCGTACGTAATTTTCGTAAATTTCGAAAATTTCGTAAATTCCGCAAATTTCGCAAATTTCGCAGGGCGCGTAAGTAAATCTGCGAGCGTATGGGAGTTCTGTAAATTTTGGAAATTCCGTGAATTGGCGAGGGCCGGGAAATTTGCTGAATTTTCCGGACCCGCGGCGGCCGCGGAGAAATTTGCGAAATTTTCCGGACCTGCGAAACCGACTTTAAGGGACCCTTTTTTTTCAAACCAACCTTCTAGTGGTTCATGGCGTGTGTCAGGTTCCTCTGGCCACTCAAAGGCAGCCAGAGCAGGACAAGACATTGGGCGCGCGTGCTGGTCAATGTCCGATGCCCAAAGCAAGGGCCACTAGTCTGTGATCATTGGAGCTTTGGTCGCTTGTCTCTCAGCCAAGTGCGCGAGCCATTTGATGAATCGCTTCTTCAGAGGCTCAAGGTACTGAAAGAAGGGACCGTGACGCGCCAGCGGCTGGGCCGCGGCGTGGTCAGGAACCCAGGCAGGAACACTACCTGCGCGGCTGTTTCCAAAGGTTTGACCCGAAGCAGCCGAGCGTATATAGTTATCATTCGTTGCCCACTTGCGCTCCTGCTGCAGATTGTTGTTGATGTTGTATATTACATCTGCCGAAGCTCCCCGTTGTCTTTCTACTCGCGCGCCAACCCTAGCGTCGCGCACGCGAGGGAGCTCATGGGGGTTGACAACATGCAACGAAATGCCATTTCTCTCAAGTAAATCTGAAATGACGTTATGTCGGTATGACTGAAGCAAGTAGTCGTGAGCAACATTGCATTTGTACCTGATCGGGTTGCTGCAGGAGGGGCAATGTCCAAAGCCAGTTCGCACCCAGTGCAAGTTAGCGCACAGGAACCGACCATCGTCCTCCCATGGGACAGACTGAACAAATGCTTGTGCTGCGGGAGGCAACTGAGGCATATGGCCTTGGATCAAAAACAAAGTCTCGTCAGTATGAATCCAACCGAGCATTGAGTTATTATCAAAATCTACTTCGTATGATGCCCACTCATGGTTGAAGACGATGGACCAAGACATTTGCTTCTCTCTAGGATCCTGCCAGTCGCTGACTTTGACAGGGGCGACGGATTTGCCAATATCGGTGAACCTCGGCACCTCACGGGACACAAGAGTCCCATCCTGGCAAATCCTGTGCGAAAAATGGGTGAGCACCCGGCCGCTGAAAACAAGCATTTACGGCCAGGACTCTCTGTGAGTCGGAAGCTGATCCCACAAACGAACTGCGTCCTCTGCGGGCCATGCTCCGACTGATGGCGGCCCCACTTGCCGCGCGATATTGCCCATGGCCACGAACTTCTTCGCAGGGACAGGGTCGCCATGCCTCCGCTGGCTTAGCTACGAAGGAAGATGATCTTCAACTCGCATGTTTGGATCCTTCTTGGTCGGGAGAAGCCTCAGCAATTCGTAGTCTGCCTCGAGGCAAAGTCCCGAGTCTCTTTTTGGGAACTGAACTTCTCCGACCGTGGATTCCAGCTGTGTCTGCATATCGGTGATATGGAGGAGGGGCCCATGACTCCTGGCTTGGCCAGGGCCATAAGGCACATACATTCTCTCAATTGAAGCAACGAAAGTGGAGCGCCCCTGGCACGCTCGATAGAAAACAGGAATAGGGGTGGCACTCCTCTCCGCCGTTTGAGAGGGCCACGCTGTGTAGCCACGCCACATTTTATGAACGTTCGTCTCACAAATGCTGGCTGGCGCTGTCGTTAGGGAGCACCCCGAGGGCCTCCACAGCTCCCGGCTGCAAAGCGGCTAGGCCATGTGCAGCAAGAGCATATGTCTGATATTCAAATCCGTCCTCGGCGATCTTCTCAACCAGGTCTCCAAAGTAGACCCAGCCCCCCGAGGACCTCGCGTAATCAGAACAATGCCTCGCGAGATACGCTGCGCAATCACCGACGTGCCGAGCGAACTCGTTTAATCGGTAACTTCGGGGCCTCCAAAAATCCGCGCTGCCTAGGGCAGCCAGATCATTGGGATCATCGGCCCCAACAACCAACGGTTTCAAGCATTTAAAGGACTGAGGGGCAAATCCGTCGGGAATATCATTGGAGTAGAACTCAGCACGGAGAAATTCTCGCGCCTGATCAAATGCATCCTC